ATGCGAAGACGATATTTTTTTTGAAATGGGAAATGATGCACCTATCAATAGGTCAATGGATGTATATGAATGCAGCCAAACATATGCAGCACATAATATATGAAAAAAAAGAATTATAGAAATACAAAATTCTTTTATTAAAATTTTATGATTTTTAGTGAATTTTGTAATGTGGTAATTGGCTACTTTTAAAATTTAGTGACTTAGTTTTCTTTTCTTATAACAAGGATTCATTTTTATAAGTACTTTGTCATTTGTAATTTAGTATTTTTTTTAAAGAAGTCTCCTCAAATTGTGTAAACTTCAGATAAAAATACATCATGAATCTGCTTCTGGCTCTATCAGCTTCATTTAACAAATGGTTAAAGGGAGGGAAAGGTGTAGCCAGAGTGTGGGATGTTGGACTTCAAGATTTCTGAGATGCGACCAAGTTATATAAGGTTAAGATCTCAAGTATTGCCCTAGAGATGAGCAGAAGTAGAGTGGGAGGCTAAGTCATTGCCACGAACACGTCCAGAATTCAAGACCTTCATTAATTATTCTAGATGTTGCACATTCCTAGATTTAGATGTGCCAAATCTAGATGAGGCTCCAACCAGGAGGGTTGAAGTTCATGATCTTGAGCCTGGTCTTAATCCTGTCATAGAATAAGACTAGGTAACTTTGGAAGGAAGGGTGGTAGACGACGAGTCAAGGGGTAGGATCAAAAGTTTTCATATGATTTTCTGAGCCTTAAAATGCATGAACTTCCAAAATTGAAGAAGTAACAGTCTGGAACGGATAGTGTTAACTAACCTTATCTTCTTCAGGCAATTCCTTATTCAAACTCAGTTGCCTATACATCTAGTGCACACCTCCATCACTTTATTATCGTCATGGCTTGTTAGGTTGTCTGTTTCATCCAATACACTGTGGATTTCTGGAGGAAACAAATGAACAAAAGCTATATCAGGTCTCTTTGTTTAAAGTGTATGTGAGGATGCTGCTTTTTAACCATTTTATTCTAATGTCTACTATACAGTAGAAACTTTCTAAATGTTTGTTGCATTAAGGATGAAAAAATAAATGATATACATTATTTCCTATGATGTGACCTTCTTTTCTACTCTTTATTTCTAAGTACCACTTTCCCTTAACATCAGTTTTCACCATTGGTTAAGATTTTTTACTCCTCCAGAGCTATGTCATGTCCTGGAATTTCAAAAAAAAAAAAAAAAAAAAAAAAAATGGAGGTTCATTGCTCTGGCTCACCTGGATTAATTTCATTTTTAATCTGAACTTTGAAATTTATTGTTCTCATTTTGTCATTGTTCCTTTTAAATGACTCATTGTTCCTTTTTCACTGACTCAGATTAATCTCAGCTTTCTGGGCTGACCTTAATGTTGTCACTTGAATGGATAAGGTAGCTTTCTGGATGTCAATATTTCATTTCAGGAATAGGAAAGGATGATTTAGTATAGGTAAATTCAATCCCACGACAAAATAGATGCTTTTACTTAAGGTTAATAATCTTTTTTACAGTGAAAGTATTATGGTGCTTGTTTGTTTAAATGCAACCTCTAATTCTTCAACATTAAGACAGTTAATACAGAGGTGTTCTCACTTATGGGTCAAAAATAAATTTTTGCGTATGCTTTAAACCAGATTTCGTTTTGGGGAAGTAGACACTATGAGCTCACATTCACCATGAATTGGCTAAGTACTTGGCATGCTTTCCTTTACCATAACTCTGATTTAGGGGGCAGAAGCTAACACTGGTTGAACGTCCTCTGGGCGTCAAGCACAGACCTAATCCCATGATAACATTATCTAATTTATCCTTCTTAATGATCTTATGACTTAAGGTACCACTATTCCACTTTAAAAATGAAAGAAATGGAGGCTTAAAGGAATTAAGTAACCTGTCCATGTTTAGCTATTAAATGGCATAGTCAAGATTCAAGCCCTGGTTTTTCAGACTTCCATGGTCTTTCATTCCACCGCACTCCATTGACTTTCCCATCTGTTAAAAAACAGGAAAGGAATTCATGTCAAAATACTGAAAAGTAGGGCTTCCCTGGTGGCGCAGTGGTTGAGAGTCCGGCTGCCGATGCAGGGGACACGGGTTCGTGCCCCGGTCCGGGAAGATCGAACATGCCGCGGAGCGGCTGGGCCGGTGAGCCATGGCCGCTGAGCCTGCGCGTCCGGAGCCTGTGCTCCGCAATAGGAGAGGCCGCAACAGTGAGAGGCCCGCGTACCGACAAAAAAAAAAAAAAATACTGGAACGTAGTCACAGTGCTTACATCTCCATGCATCAGTTCAAGTATCTATTTCCCACATTAAGATCCAGTTAAAGGCTACTGCTTCAATGAATCTTGCCCTACTCTGATCCACAGCTGTCTTTACCTTCTCTGAAAACCTACCAGGCAATTCATTTCATTCTGTTTGTAGACAATGGTGCTAATGTCTCATCTCCTTGGTCTCTTATGTGCACTTTGTTTTCCTTAAAAACCTATTTTTTTGGCCGTGCTGCGCGGCTTGCAGGATCTTCGTTCCCTGACAAGGGATTGAACCCGTACCCTCGGCAGTGAAAGAGTCCCAGCCACTGGATGGCCAGGGAAGTCCCCCGAAACCTATCATTTTCTAAAGCAAATACTCTATGTATGCTTTTTTTTAAAATATTCATTATTGGGCTTAGACCAGAACTAGGGTCATAGCAGAACTAGAATCAATTTTCAACCTATGTTGAATTGAAAGGATTCACATATAAAGAAAATAAACGATTTTTAATTAAAATATTAAGCCATATTCATATGAACTTTCAAGTCCATATTGCTTTTGGTGATGATAGGACTGATATTCCTTTCAACTTTTTATAACGTTTTTTGAAGACTTGGCTTCCCTTCATTAAGTCATTGGTTAAGTTATTTGAAAAGCACCATGAATTGGGGAGTCAGAAGTGGTTGGATTTCAATACCAGCACTGCTATTGAATTGCTGGATGTCCTTGAGCAATTTATTTTGCCTCTCTGATCTTCAGTATCTTCAGTTGTAGAATAAATATAATGATAGTACCTAGCTCATTGGATTTAATATGATAATACCTATAAAGTATCTAACTTGACAAATGATTGGCACTCAGCAAGTATATATTCCTTTTCTTCCATTAACATACTCTCAAAATCTAGTCTCATCTTTTCCAGTTTACATATAAGGGAAATGAGGAGTTTGCAGGACACAGCTTAGGTGTGTCCAGATCAATCTTCCTCATCAGGGTGCTCGGCATATGTTTATGCTTCTTTCCCAACTGTACCTCTGCTGTACCTTGTTTCTTATGTTGCTCCTACCTTCACCTGCTGAAGCTCCAATGCCATCTCTTCAGGAGAGCCTTCCTTCATTCTTCCAGCTGGGGCACTACCTCTTCCAACTCCCTTCTGCATTGGACAGAGTATGTTATCTCTGTTCATGGTCTTTCTTATAATATTTATCACATTCCATTGTCATAGATTTCACCATTGTTTCATTTCATCCAAGTACAAGTTCTGAGGCATTCCCCAGCATACTTAAACTACATTTGGGGTTTCAAGGACTCCGCTTCTTTTGTCTGGGGAGCTGTGGCATCACTGTAAAGAAAAGTGTCCACATGGGTCAATTTGGAAAGGCTCAGCAAATCCTGGGGGCCCTGGCAAGCATGCCTTTCTGCATGATCAGTGGCCAATATGTACGGGACTCAATGAAAAGCAGTCAGCAGACAGTGATGAAAGAATGGCTAGTTGGCAGGCAACATGGGGAACCTTTTGGGTTTTAGAGTGGCTCCCAGGTTTTCCCTTTTGCTGGGAAAGGAAGGGGTTAGGCAGAACCTCAATGCTGACCCCATTGCCCCTTACATTGCCCCCTCGGTCGTATACCCAATTCCTGGCCACATCATTATCCTACAAGAGTAAGCCTCATACTCTTTTCTAGCCTGGATGACCTTCATCCTGTATTCATCCCCCTGAATTCTTTCTTATTCTTTTTCCAGATCACCGTTGAAGCATAAACTCTGTTTTACTTCTATCAGGGTCTTCTCTTTGGAGAAGAGTACTTCAGGGCCCAAAGCTTCAGGCAAACACTTCCTCTTATAAATCAAAAGTTTTGCTTTCAATTATTGTGCCTGATGTGGGCTTCAAGAGCTTATTCTGAAGTTGAAAAAATTCAACCTTTTTTTCCTCTCTGCTTTAATAATTCTGATTCTCTGAAAACTGTTTTGTGGATGTCTCTGACTGAATAAGAAAAGGGTCAAATACAAAAAAGAGCAGAGAGGAAAATGATCAAGGTTGATATGTCAGTATAATATTTTTGACACAACTTTAAAATATGGATATTTGCATATATCACATCTCTTCCAAAAAGCATAAACTCTTTCAAGCCAGATGTTTAATCTTGTCTCTCTTTATACCCTTTCAAAGTACCAAGCAAGTCTTTTGTCTTGCATAGAGTAAGTAAATAGTAAGTATTTGTTGAATTAAATTGAAAAAGCACGATACATGTTTTTGAAAATCCAAGGGCAGAGGCACATGGAAGAACTTGGGGGCGTAATAAATACACAGACACTGTGTAGTGCTAATCAGTTGATCCAGATGTGTAAAACAATGGCACTTTTTAAATTAAAAACATGCAGAATATTGTCTTAGCTTTGCCCAGAAGGCCACATTATAAAAACATGTTAGTAAGATCAGTGACACAAACTTAAACGTTTATACATCCAACTGGAATTCTACATTCCATCTAATTAAATTATGACTTGTTTGATTTGTTGTACCTGTAGAGCCAACTCAAAATCAAATTATTTTTATAAAACCAAGGAATATTTGTTGGAGATATTGCAATGAATTTTAAAACCTCTTTCCTGTTGTTTTAGGTGTATAAGATATTGTCTGCCTGAAATAATTCTATTTCATTAGATTTTATGCGTTCTATTCTATTCATCAATAACACTGTTTTATTTAGTTGTTCTTTTCATGGCTATTGTTTTTCTTCAGGTGACAAAGGGGAAAAGGGTTTGCCTGGGATACCTGGAGGAAAAGGCAAAGCAGGTATAATATACTTAGTTTTTCTTCTTAATTTTTAGCATCATTCCAAATCTATTCATCTTAAAAATGAATATAGTTTATAGAAAAACAATAGTCTTTTCAGTGGGATTAACCTCATTTTCCTTGGGCCAGAAGCAAGGGAAGAATGAAAATTTCCTCTGTATCTGCTGGTGACTTTCCAAGCCTCTGGGGAAGGGGAGGATGGTGATTCCACCCCTCCCATGCTTACCATGAGGCAGCAAACCCAGCACATCAGGAAGCAGCCCTCATTCTCCGAGACCAGGAGGAAAATCCACGAGGGCCACAACAATTGGACCAGCACGTCTTACATTTCACCAACATCTCAGTCAAATACTGGCCAAGCAGTTTGCCAGCAGCAGACTGGCCTGATCCAGTGAGGCCCTGTGGTTACAGAACATGCCTCAGTGGCCGGGGAGTTTCTCCCTGATACTGAAAGAGAGGTCTATTTCCAGCGCTTGATGCAAGGAAAAAAGTAGCTTGTTCTTGGTGAGCTTCAATTATTTCTATCCGTAAAGGTGTAGTGCGGACTAATTCTAAGAGCTCTTTTAACGTCCTTATATTTAACTGTGAATGTGGATAAATAAAGCCACAGATATTTTTTTTTCCTTTGGCTAATAGAATTCATTTTGCTTTTCAACAACCAAAGAAACAAAGCAAATGGAAATATTGACATGAAGCAGCCATTAAATAGGAAAAGGGAATCATTTGAATTTTTTTTAACTTTTTATTTTATATTGGAATATAGTTGATTAACAATGCGTTAGTTTCAGGTGTGCAGCAAAGTGATTCAGTTATACATATACACGTGTCTATTCTTTTTCACATTCTTTTCCCATTTAGTTGTTACATAATATTGAGCAGAGTTCCCTGTGCTATACAGCAGGCCCTTATTGGTTATCTGGGAATCATTTGAATTTTACATCATTTTCCTTACAATTCTTTCTCTGCCACATTACCAGTAGGTAACTGAAAAGGTAAATGAGCAAAGGGGAATTAATGGCAGAAGTTAAAATCATAGTTAATCCACAAATGGAACAACTGACTCTTGAAATTGTTAAGATAGATCTATTCACAAGATTTAAACTTAGTCCTTGAAACATAAGCTATACTCCAAATGGATAATCAGAATTAACATTTATTTCATCGTGAAAGTTTTCTCCTGTCTTGGCAGAGTTGTGTGAGCCAGTGAACAATGCAGTAACAGAAGAGAAGACTGGCTAGAAATATGTTTTTTAAAAGCTGTAAAGATTTTATGCTGAGACTGGTATGTTCTGTGTTCAACAAAATGCCAAATGGTCCACAATATGTGTACCGTGCTTAGTCATATTGACAGTTCTTTTAAAAAATCTCGTTTAGAACTGTGTTTTAACTAATTTAAAATATTTAAAAAGATATTTTCTGAATTCCTAAAGACAAGGTATATCAGAAACCCTGTATTACATAAAAGACGAAAAGCATAGCCGTTCACAGAGAGACGTAGCCAGACCTGAAGAAGACAGTAAATATTGGGAAGAGAGCAATTGCTCTTTTCAACCAGTCTGCTAGTGCTTCAACATGAATTCACAGCTTTGTCATTTAAAAGGGACTGTCTGTGATTGCGGAAGATACCGAAAAGTTGTTGGACAACTGGATATCAGTGTGGCTCGCCTCAAGACATCGATGAAGTTTGTCAAGAATGGTGAGTCTCTTCTATTGCTTTGTACTATTTATCCGTGGATTTATCTCTTTCAACACTGCAATTCCAACATCCCTAGCAGGAAATAACTTTGGGCAAAGGCCTACTGAGATAGTGTCAACGGTTTAAAGGTCTCTCAAAATCCTAATTATCCACTCACTCTAGGACACTTCAGGTCCACTTCCTGTGGACATACATATGTGCGTTCCTATGGGTAGAAACGGGTGCTTTAGTGAGAGAGGGGAAGGACGAAGAGGCAGAGTTTGGCTAGCTGGGCCTTAAGAAAAAAAAGGCCCAGCTTTCAAACAGCCAGCATCTCAGAAGGTAAAAGTAATAATAAAAACAACAGCTACTTTCTTGAGTACTTGGAATAACAATAATTTTTACGATTAGACCGAAGCTTAGAGAGATTACCTTACCCATAGATACAAGCTAAATGAACAGTGGAGCACGGATCTGAACACAGGTTTCATGACTCCTCTACCCTCAGTGCAAATCAATAGGAACATTATGCATTTCTCTAAATTGTGCAATTTTCCATATCAGTCACTTTTGTTTTCCCTTGTATTTCCCTATTAAAGTGCTCAATAAAGCCCTTAAAGTGGGGCTTATGTGCCCTCTCCTGAGACAGTATGAATGAGGGAACTCATTCATACTGTCTCATTCATACTGTTATGGTTGGTTTCACTTTGTTGTACTTTTATTTATTATAATCCAGCCATATTTATTGTACAATACTGGAGGCGCACGGTTGCCATCTTGTGTCCATTCTCGTCTTGTAATACTAAAGGCATAGGAAATGTTTGATATGAACTAACCCTCAGTTATAACTCTGGTTATAACCTATACAGAAGATGCCGCATCTGACATGACTTGGACGTTAATGAATAAACCAGACCCCAGAGGTTCAACATAGCGCAATAGTCCTTAACATTTGAGTGCTCATAGATTTATTTGTAAATTTTAACTTATAGACCCTAAAAAGATGTATGTAGATGCCCCCATAGGCCAAAACGTACATAGCATATTATGAGCTCAGGATGATTCTGAGTCCCCAATTCTGTCCTGAATCATACTCAGAAGCTCAGTCTACTTCATGTACCTGGAGTGAAGTATAGACCATCTATCTCAATTGATGTATACGTTCACAATCTAGGAATCTGGCCCATAGGGACAAACTTCTGTATTATTTCCATATCAGTCCAATAAGCCTTTACCACCCCCTAACGCTGTTCCAGGCACTGAGGCTACAGAGTGGCAAAGACATGGTCACTGGCCTCAAGATGCTCACAGTTCAGTAGAAGAGACACACAAACAATTAGACTAGAATGTGTCAAGTGCTGTGAAGTGAAAGGGACAATGGAAACATAGGGGAGAATGCACAGGAGTGCTCACGTCTGTCCAGGAGCATTGAAAAGGCTCTTATAGGAGAGAACACTTCCACTAAGATCTAAAGGATGGGTAGGAATTTGCCGGATAAAGCAGTAAGAAGACCTTCCAGGCATGAAAGGTACGGAAGTGGAAGAGAGAAGGTCATGCTCATGGAACGGTAAGTGGCAAAAGCATAAACTAGGAGGGGAAAAATTGTCTGAGATGAGCTGAGTGACAGTTCATATAACACATCTTTGTCAAAATAGCTCTCTGCTTCACATTGTGAGGGAAGTGAAGGAGAAAAAGACAAGGGAGGACCAATGACAGGAGTTTTTTCCCCATTTGACAGCTAGAAAGGTGGAGAAAATATTGAACTAGTGCCCACCTCATGATAGGGTCTTGGAAAAGAATTTTAAACGTTGAATAAATGAATTTAAGTTAGCAATATTTTATACTTAGCATTTCTCTTTTTGACATATATAATCACATTCTTCTTTTCCTTGCTGCAAAGTCATAGCAGGGATTAGGGAAACCGAAGAGAAATTCTACTACATCGTTCAGGAGGAGAAGAACTACAGGGAATCCCTGTCCCACTGCCGGATCCGGGGTGGAATGCTAGCCATGCCAAAGGATGAAGCTGCCAACATGCTCCTGGCAGACTACGTCTCCAAGAGTGGCTTCTTCCGGGTGTTCATCGGGGTGAATGACCTTGAGAGAGAGGGCCAGTATGTGTTCACCGACAACACTCCACTGCAGAACTACAGCAACTGGAAGGAGGGTGAGCCCAGCGACCCCTACGGCCACGAGGACTGTGTGGAAATGCTGAGTTCAGGCAGGTGGAATGACACAGAGTGCCATCTTACCATGTACTTTGTCTGTGAGTTTGTCAAGAAGAAAAAGTAACTTCCCTCTTGCTGCACATTTGTCATTTCCCTGTGACTACCATGGCAGTTATTTTTATCCATCTTTCCTGTCTAATTACACTAAATTCATTCTGACTCAAGGCAAGTGAGAAATGCTAGACTGAGGTTTGGAATCTCCATCGCCATGCTCGTCCATGACGATTTTGAACATTTTCATACACGGTATGTTACTGAGCCATAAGCTCACCAGGTTATGGGTCCCAAGAGAGAGCTTGAATTACTAGTTGTGCAGGAGGTGGTTGTCTATGTCTCCAATGAAGTTCTCACTTGGCATTTGCTCTGCCATCTCTCCCTAGAGCCGTAAACCACTGTCTATCTGGCCCAGTGGATAATTGGATAGTTGGTTGGGGATGATTAGGCGCCAAGCCAGACATATGAGAGGCTCTTCTCTTAGGAATGTCAAGGTATTATCTGTCTTTGAACCCAAGATCCCCAGTTCTTTGACCAGTCACCCACCATGGCCATAGCCACACACGCAAGGTCCTCTTCTTTGCATACCCTCAGAAATACTTCAACTCTAAGCCTTTATAGGAGGAACTTCTAGCCTAGTGCCCTGTTCCAGACCATATGGAATCATGCAGATAACTTCTGTTCTTCTGGTTGATGGCCTTCACCGAAGTATACCCAGCCTTGGCCCCCTTTCTGTAGGCCCACAGGTAAATTCCAGGCCTCCAGATATTAACCCTGTGATCTGAGGAAAAGGGAGCTCTAGAAATTGAAAAGAAAAAAAAGAAAAGGCTAGCTCCTACACAATGTTATTTATAATCCTCCTGCTAAATTGCCCCCTTTATTAATATGGCTCCATGTTTCCTCATCTTATGTTTATCCATAGCAACTTTTCTCCCTTTTGGCATGGAGAATGAAGGAAAGGGTTTGTGAAGCCTTCAGAAAACTCTAGAAGCTTCAGGGTGCTACCAACACCAAGTCTCTAAGACCCTTGTCTGCCTCTACTAATATATCATGCATGGTGACATTTTGTGGGAGGCCCTTTATTCTCTGCAACTGTATGTTGTAAAAATCTCACATCAGTGATGCCTTCAAGTACTTTCAAGTACATCACAAGAATGTGTCAAGTGTGGAGCTTGGAACGTGCCTGAGGCTCACATTTACTAAGCTGGTAAAATTCTACTTTGAACTGCAGATCAAACCTCAAAGCAGCTCTAAATTGAAATTTTAAAATAAAAGTTCAACAAACCCCTAGATTATCCCCTTATAAACTGATGCTCCAGTTATAGTTTGTGACATCTAATTAGACGTTTAAAATGCTGGCAAAACAGTTAATGAGGGGCTTCCCTGGTGGCGCAGTGGTTGAGAATCTGCCTGCTAATGCAGGGGACACGGGTTCGAGCCCTAGTCTGGGAAGATCCCACATGCCTCGGAGTGGCTGGGCCCGTGAGCCATGGCCGCTGAGCCTGCGCGTCCGGAGCCTATGCTCCGCAACGGGAGAGGCCACAACAGTCAGAGGCCCACGTACCGCAAAAAAAAAAAAAAAAATTACAAAGCAGGACACCATATCAAATCCAGTATCCTGGGGTAGAATGCCAGCCAAGAGCTTGAGGAACAAGAATCTAGAAGCACTTAGAGGAAAAGAAAGGGATTAGAAAAGGGGAGAGAGGGAGCAGACAGTAAACATTGCCTATGGGCAGCTCACACTGGGATCCGTATTCTGATTTGTTCTAAGCCCCCCAAGTATGAATATTAACTGTGTGTACCGTCCATACTATTCTAATTTCTATTATGATTATTATAATAATAACAACATTTCTCTCAATGACTCATCGTTGCTGCCAGTGCTTCCAAGAGAAGATGACAGAATTTCAAAGATAGGATTCATCCTGAGACCTTGCCTGGGAGAAATTTTGAAGGCACTACGCACTTAATTAGATTTGCTATAAAACTTACTTTGTGCTTTACAAAATAAATGTCTTCGCATAACATTTTCCATGTGATCCTGATAAATTCTGTGAAGTACGAAGGGCAGACGTTTTTACTGCCATCTTTCCAATGAGAATACTGAGGTCCAAGGAAGCTAAGCAGTTTACCAAAATCAACTCATTTGAAAGAAAAGCAGGATTTCACTCTGCTGATTGAAACTGTCAATCCAGTGTTCCCTCCAGCCTATGTTTTTTGCTCTTATGTTGAATGGAATTTCATCCACGATTCTCTTGTGATAACAGGGGCTCAAATAATCTCTCTTGATTACTTTCCAAAGGTAAAGATTAGGGTTAATTAATAGAAATGCTGGGGATTCAGAAACTTGCCTTACAAATATGGTACTCACTGGTTTCTTTTAAAATTCAGGAATGTCTACACATGTCATTAATGTTGAGGAGGTGATTTAGTTCAGTGTCACTACAGTTTTGCAAATAACTACAGATTTAGGGAAAGCAAGGCAGATGTATTAAAATTAAGATTTGCCAAAACTAAAAATGAGCAAGTAATTATTTGCCCCATAAGAGAATAAAGTAGATAATTCCCTTCAATAATTAGCATTTAAAATCAATTTCATTCTTAAAAGTTAAATGTATATTCAACTTTTCAGGAACATATCTGGGCACTTCCCAAGGATGACATAAAGGTTCCAGGGGAAGAAAATTAAAAATGTATTCACAGTTGCACAATGCTGCCTTTTCAAAGCAACACACTCTATAGCCAGACAAGAAGAACTATCTTATGTCCAGAGTCATTGCCCAAACACTGTAGAAGGGTATACATCCTGTGTTGAGAGAAATATAACAAGCATTGATTACACTTTGGACAACTCACCCATAAAAACTACTGACATTAAAGAAGATGTATTTTTTCCTGCTTAGATGTATGAGCTCCTTTGATTGTTATTAACCAGTTAATTTCCAGCTCTCTGGATTGCATACCTGGAGACCATAAGATGTCTGTGGAATAGGACAGGTTAACTAAACAGCAGCACACACTGCATTTGCCACAGATGTGGTATACATACGTACATTGTCTTTCAATATAGGGCTTTCTTTTACTGCACTCCTAACAGGTGGTCACACAGTCCATATTTGAAGGTTTTGGCTAATTTTCTAACTCCATTAGAAAGTTTTTCCTTACAGTGAAATAAAATATGCTGTCTCTAATTTCCATCTACGTCCTTGTTCTCCCTTCTGCTGTTCCTAACTCTGAGAGGTCTGACCCTGAGACCAGCTGGATCAGCCTCTAAATGAAAGTACAAGTCAGGGCAGGGAGAACTGTGCTCACTGCGGCACTGGTTACTAAGGTGGATACCCAGTGTTTTTTTTGTTTGTTTTGTTTTGTTTTGTTTTGGGTTCGCGGGCCTCCCACTGTTGTGGCCTCTCCCGTTGCGGAGCACAGGCTCCGGACGCACAGGCTCAGCGGCCATGGCTCACGGGCCCAGCCGCTCCGCGGCACGTGGGATCCTCCCGGACCGGGGCACGAACCCGTGTCCCCTGCATCGGCAGGCGGACTCTCAACGACTGCGCCACCAGGGAAGCCCGATACCCAGTTTTGTACATTTCTCTAACCCTATATGGTATGCCCCACTCCCAGTGAATTCAAATTTTGTTGGTGAGGCATTAGAGGCACAGATATAGAGTAGAACTGGGATTGAAAGTCATGTGGGGCATCTCAATTATAAATAATCTATTCATCAGGAGAGGGTATTCAGTGGAGAGGGTTCAACCCTAAGGGAGGAGGCTGTTAAGAGGTTGATGGTTTGGTAAGACCTGATTGAGAGGGTTCAGGGCAGGTGTCCAGTGCCAGTGGGATGAAGTCCAAGGCAGAGACCAGGTTCATGAAACTGACATGGCGAACAATTGGCTTAGGTGCCCAGTAGAGCTCACTAACTCATTAATTCATCAAATGTACTTATGGAGCATTACCATGTGATGAGGGCTGGAGACACAATGGAAAAGAAGACGGATCAGACTTCTAGCTTCATGAACAGAACTCTCCTTTGGCTCGTTGAACATCGAGGTTACCACACTGAAGCCCAAGAGTTAATCCACTGTCATGGATGGAATATATAAACCTATTCTATTTTTACTCCTACTTCCTCTTCAACATAACGCCTCTTCAAAATTATACTGAAATAGGTTGGACAAAGAGAATTTTTTTTTTGTAAAAGTACAACGTTACCATTTCTTGAAGAGCAACATTGACACATCTCTTCAAATACATTTATAAATTCCTGTAGGCTGGCTAATTTTGATGTGAACAAGAAGTTCTCATGTCGTTGTGTATGCTCACCCACACCACTACCTCACAAGGCAGAATATATCCTTGTGATTGTGCATGGATGAGCGGTAACACTTGGTAAATATTCCTCCACATTATTTTTTTCTGGTGACCTACAGCTGACATTCAGTGAAACCCAGATTTCCCACAGACTGTCACTTTCATACGAAAATAAAGACAGGTAGGGAGAAGGGGGAAGGGAATCAGAATTTTACAATTTATTAAAATGTGAGCACAGCAACCTTAAATTAATCACCATGTTGGCATCTGCAGCTGGGAAATAATGCAGATTCATGTGTGTCCACACAATTTTAAAGGTATGTAATGCTTTGGCCTATGTGTTTTTCACTTTAGAACCCTTAAACAGATGAATTTATCAAGAGGTAAGTGTTATCCTTTGGACAAACTGTGTTAGTGGGCTTCTGGGGGAGGTGATAGAGATGAGGATTGTCTACAACCCACCCCTTGATATATTGATAGAACGTCAGTCGGGAAGAATACTCAGAAGCTCCACCATGATATGTGAAAAAACAAGGCAGGCACAGAAATTTCCTAAGTCTTGAGAAAATGAGGTAAGTGGAGACATAATTGCAAAACACATTCAATTTACATCCAATACAGTCTAGGTGAATATTTTTACTAAGTGTAGTGCACATAATAGACAACTGCGGAAGACTCTTTCCTAGGAGATTACAATTTCATATGTATATTTCCTGAATCAACTCAGAGAAAATGATTCTGGAGAAAGCTTACCGGGAGAAACATATGTGTTTTACAAATAGATGCTTTTTGGAAATGTTTATGTTTAAAATAATAATGTTTCAAAATACGTTTCCCCAAACTCCCTGGTTTGTCTGACCTTATCTTTGATTCTGCTGATGTTGGTACTTTTCAGGGACTCAG